GTTTGGGGAGGGTCCCGGTTTGGGGAAGGTCCCGGTTTGGGGAGGGTCCCGGTTATGGGAGGGGTCTCGGTTTGGGGAGGGGTCTCGGTTTGGGGGGGGTCCCGCTCACCTCAGCCGCCGCTGCAGAACCGCCTGGCGCCGCCGCCAGCAGTAGCGGGTGACATAAACCAGGGCCACCAGCACGGCCACCAGCAGCAGGACCCCGCCGATGACAGAGCCCAGCACGACGCCGTAGCGGGTGGGCACTGCGGGGACAGTGGCACCGTGTCACCCCCCCTGGGTGGGTGGCACTGCGGGGACAGTGGCACCGTGTCACCCCCCCTCGGTGGGTGGCACTGCGGGGACAGTGGCACCGTGTCACCTCCACCAGTGGGGATCAGGGAGGTGACACCGGTCCAGTGACCCCACCACCATCGGCGATCAAGAGGTGACACCGGGCCGGTGTCACCAGCACCAGCAGGGATCAAGGAGGTGACACCACCACCAGGGATCAGGAGGTGACACCGGCCCTGTGTCACCATCACCACTGCGGATCAGGGAGGTGACACCACCAGGGATCAGGAGGTGACACTGGCTCTGTGTCACCATCACCAACAGGGATCAGGGAGGTGACACCACCACCAGGGATCAGGAGGTGACACCGGCCCTGTGTCACCACCACCACTGGGGATCGGGGAGGTGACACCAGTCCAGTGACCCCACCACCATTGGCGATCAAGAGGTGACACCGGGCCGGTGTCACCAGCACCAGCAGGGATCAGGGAGGTGACACTGGCCCTGTGTCACCACCACCACTGGGGATCAGGGAGGTGACACCGGCCCGGTGTCCCTGCCACCACCGGCGATCAAGAGGTGACACTGGCCCTGTGTCACCATTACCAGCAGGTATCAGGGAGGTGACACCACCACCAGGGATCAGGAGGTGACACCAGCCCTATGTCACCATCACCACCAGCGATCGGGAGGTGACAGCGGCCAGCAGCGGGGTCGGGGCGGTGCCACCGTGTCGCGCACCTTTCTCCAGCACGTAGAGGGTGACCTGCGAGGACTTGCCCACGATGTCGGGCGGGTTCTTGACGTCGCACGTGAAGGTGCCGTTGTCGCTGGGCTCCAGGCTGTGGATGACGATGGAGCCGTCGCGGCGCCGCGGGTTCCCCGCCCACTCCATGCGCTCCTTGAATGTCCCCACGTCGTCGATGTAGGGCTGGCCCTTGGCGTAGTGGAAGATCTGCGACAGCAGCGGCGACACCGCGGTCACCGAGGTGGCCCCCGGGCTCGGCGGGGTGACAGCCAGCCGCGGGGCGGGCGGGGACAGAGGGGACAGCGTGATGGAGGTGGCCCCGGGGTGTCTGTGGGCACGGGGACACGGGGACACCGCGGTGGGAGGGGACACGGGGACACCGCGGGGACAGCGATGTGCCCACCTGCTGAGGCTGGCACGGGGACACCGTGGGGACACCCCAGTGCCACCACGGGGCAAGGGGACACTGCCGGGGGTGGAACCCAAGGGAGGGCAGGGCTGGGGACACCTTGGGGACACCGCAGGGCAAGGGGACACTGCCGGGGCTGGAACCCAAGGGCGGCAGGGCTGGGGACACCTTGGGGACACCCCAGTGCCACCACGGGGCAAGGGGACACTGCCGGGGGTGGACCCGGCGGGCACTGGTGACACCACGGGGACACGCCAAGTGCCACCCTCAGGGAAGGCTCTGTCGCGCTGCCGCTGCGACAAAGGGACACCGGGGCTGGGGGCGCGGTGGGGACGCGCTGGGGACACCGAGGGGACACTGGGGACACTGACGGAGATGCTGTCGCGGGAGCCCTCGGCCTGGAAGTGCCAGGTGATGGAAATGTCCTCCGAGATCCACTCGCTGGACCAGAAGCTGCAGGACAGGGTGACACGCGAGCCCACGGTGCCATAGACCTCGCGCGGCGTGTACACGTGGATTGGGGACACCGGCGACACTCCTGGCGACACGGAGCCGTCAGCGCCACCCCCGCGCGGGGACCGCCCCCGCCGCTGTCCCCGAGCTGCCACCAACGGGCGCCGAGGGGACAGAGGGGTGGTGGCACCGCCGCCCCCAGGGGTGGCTCGGAGGGGACAGTGTCCCGGTGCCCGGTGACACGGGCGGGGGTGGCAGCCAGCGCCCGCGGGGAGGTGACAATGGGACCCTCGGTGTCCGCCGGTGACACCAGCAGGGCTGGGTGTGGCACCCCCGCCCCTGTCCCCAGGGAGGTGACAGCTCTGGGACCCTCCTGGCCACCACCCGCCCCTGTCCCCAGGTTGGTGACAGCTCTGGGACCCTCCTGGCTGTCACCCGCCCCTGTCCCCAAGGAGGTGACAGCTCTGGGACCCTCCTGGCCACCACCCGCCCCTGTCCCCAAGGAGGTGACAGCTCTGGGGCTCTCCTGGCCGCCACCCGCCCCTGTCCCCAGGTTGGTGACAGCTCTGGGACCCTCCTGGCTGCCACCCGCCCCTGTCCCCAGGGAGGTGACAGCTCTGGGACCCTCCTGGCTGCCACTCGCCCCTGTCCCCAGGTTGGTGACAGCTCTGGGGCTCTCCTGGCCGCCACCCGCCCCTGTCCCCAAGGAGGTGACAGCTCTGGGGCTCTCCTGGCTGCCACCCGCCCCTGTCCCCAGGTTGGTGACAGCTCTGGGACCCTCCTGGCCACCACCCGCCCCTGTCCCCAAGGAGGTGACAGCTCTGGGACCCTCCTGGCCGCCACCCGCCCCTGTCCCCAAGGAGGTGACAGCTCTGCTGTCGCACGCCAGCCGCGGTGACAGTCCCCACGCAGCGCGTGGGTGCCCGCCAGCCCCACGGCCACCCCCAAACCCCCCCCCCCACCCCCCCACCCCCTTTTTGGGGACCTGTCCCTTGTCCCCAAGCTCACCCAGCGCCGCCAGCAGCCCGGCCGCGAGCAGGAGGCGGCGGGTGGCCCTCGGGGACATGGCGGTGGTGGCACGGAGGGGACAGCGGCGGTGGCCCGAGGGGACAGCGGTGGCGCCGCGGTTTTAGGGTGGCCCGGGCAGCGCTGCACCCCCAAATCCCGGCCAATGGGCGCCGGGCGCGGGGGGGGCCCGGCCCGCGGGGTCCCCGCTCAAAGGGGACATTGAGGGACACCGAGGGACACCGAGGGTGGCGAGGGGGACGGGGACACTGGTGGCCTTTGTCCGGCCGCATTCCCGCGCGCCGCGGGG